GAGGAGAGTTTTGAGGAGTCTTGGAGAGTGTCCGTCTCAAGAAGAAAGGTTTTTGAGCAAAGATTAGTCTAAGTTAATGACTTTTGATAGTTCCTATCCACACCCACCTTTTGGGTGGAATAGCCAATACCAGGCGTGAATTTTTGAGCGGGAGAAGTTTTCTTTGCCTCCCTTTATGGCCCATTTGCATGTTTATGGCTGGTCTGGAGGATTGGTGCAGTTTTACCCAAAATATAGTACAAATAGTATGATGCATTTAACAATCACATACTGTACATCATTGTTTGAGGAATAGAGAGCAGATCATTTTGATATCAAGAAACATCTAGAAGATATTAAACCAGAGATACATTCATACACCTGAATATGGTTTAGAGATTAACTAATACAAATAACGAGTGGTAACTAGGCTAAATATAATAGGGAAACATACAAACAACACATGGCTATACCAGATACATTTGTAACTGACTGATTATAGTCTAAATAAAGAAAATGTCTTTATGTGTGTGTGTTATGTGTATTGTGAGCATGGGGGTAGTTTGCTGGTCAGCCAGGCCATTGGTGCCTGGCACCGGGGATCATTTTCTTCTCTTTGGAATGTGTTTGAAGTCAGTTGAAGAGACGAGAGTGGTGAAACTGTTTAGCATCTCCTTGATAGTGGGGGAAACCATTGGCAATTTAGCACCCATATAACTGTAGAATGTGGGACCATGTCTGTAATTTATATGCAAATGTCAAAAGGATAAAAGGGGTCTTTAAGACATAAAGCCCCAATGATCATCCATGATTTTAAGCAGATGCTACAATACCAAGTACTAAAGAAACATACCAAGTTCACATACTTGTTTCTCTAAAAACAGCCAGTTATTCTACTTTCAAATGTGCGTTCTGTGTCAGCATGTCTGTTTTTGTTTTGGACTGTGTGATTTCGCCAATTTACCCAATAGGATTTCAGCACCCAGGTAGCCAGGTAGCAGAAAACACAGGGTACTGCAGTCATTTAGCTGTGTCCCAATTCATAGGCTACGTCCTTCGAAGGACCCAATTGAAGGCCGATTACGTCACAGCAGCACGACGAAGGCTCTCCCAATTCAAACACCGCGTCCTACAAAGGCTGCATTTGAAGGCCGATTGCGTCACGGCAGCACGACGAGGACCATCCCAGTTCACGATGCATCCTCCGAAGGCTGCATTTGAAGGCCGATTACGTCACAGCAGTGCGACGAAGGCTGCCGCAATTCGAACGCGACTTCAAATGCGTCCTCCGTTTCTCTGGCAAAATGAAGGATACATCCGATGGATCCTTCACAGCCTTCCCTATCCCAGAATTCATAGCGCTCCAGTGAAGACGGGGTTTTTATTCAAACAAAGTGGGTGACGGTTCTGTGGCGGCCGACAAATACACTTAGTTCTATAAATGTAAGTATTGTGTTTGAATGTACTGAAATAGCTTGTATTTTTTTTTCACTTGTATTTTTATTTTATTATTATTGTTGTTATTATTTTAGCGCTGTCATGCAAGATATGTCCGCAAACATTATAAGCAAACTTGATGATCCAGAAATATGATTTCTGGAGTATTTTGTATGCATGTCCTGCTGTGTCATATTTTGCAGTCCTGTCTTAATAATTTTCATAAGTCTTTCCTTTTGTCTTGTTTTAGGACAGTTCTGGAGAAAATGGGGCTGCTGGGAAACTTAAAAAAGAAATGAAAGTTGTTCTGTACATTACTTTTGTAATTTGATTAGTTATTTGTAAATGAAGTAATTTCTGTGCATTGTTTGTTTTATTTTTGTATTATAAGTTGAAACTTGTAAATAAAAGACAAGAAATAATTATAAACTTCGTTTATTTTTGCAAAGCAAATTTCTTTTAATCTAAATTATCACATGAAGCACATTTCATTCATTCATTTTTTAAAAATCTAATTATTTTTTATGGGGGGTGGGGGCACTCTAGGTGTCGTTGGCCAGGGGCACCAGAGTCTTAATCCGCCACTGCCTGCCCTGCACATTTTGCATGTCTCCGTCATCAGTCACACCTGATTCAGCTCATCACTGGAGTGGAGACTGCAAAACCTGAAGTGGGTGTCAGATATAGGGAGACAAAATGTGCAGTACTCCAACCACTGACCTAGCACATGTATTTGCAGCACACGGTTAAATGTGGTCAAACTCCAAGATTCGGTCTAAAATCTAGCATACCAAAAAAGACAAGTTATTTAATAGAGATAGACTATTCATGCATTAAAAATGAGAGATGGCTTTTTAAACCCTTTTAATGTGTCAGCTTGCCATCAGAACTCATTGGCAATTTACATAAACTGTGAGAAACCTGCCCAGGGTCACAGACACAACATTTACAGTAATATTTAAAGAGACACTCCAATCCCCAACCCCCAATTTAAAAAAAAAAAAAGTATTTTGTCATTATCTATTCATTTACTGTCATTCTATGACAGTATGTTATGTGTTTGTGTGTATGCTGTTATTTCTTCTGTGGAACATAAAAAAAACACGTTTCAAGTCTTTTTTTTTGTGCATTCAATGAAAGTCAACGGTTCCTGTTGCTTGATTCCCAGTGTTCTACAAAATATATTATTCTGTATTCTGCAGAAGAAGAAAAACAGTATTGGAACCACGTAAGGGTAATTAAACGATCAGAATTGTAATTTTGGTCGAAGGGACACAATTAGAGACAATCATGTGCACTGGTCAGGTTTTGTGGTGCAGTTGTTTAATAAACGAAATCAGTGGACATTCCAAAAGATTCCATCTTTTGAGGTTCTGAATTACTTACAAATATACATTTAGAAAATTACATAAAAATCTATGAACAAATGTACACTGCTATTTATAGCTCGAGAAGTTTTTGTCATTGCAAGAGAAAAATAATGTTTACAAACTTGTCAGTAGTCAACATGACCATGTCCTGCTTCCACAAAACAAAACAAAAAATTTTTCAGTAATCAACTTGAATTCAGTTGGTATGGCAGGATGAATAAACCTTCAGCCTTTCAAGAAAATTTAAACAGATTTATCAAGAACTGCTTGACTGACATTCATTGCTTCGCTTTCCAGAACAGACAATGAACACACACACACACACACACACGAACACACACACACACACACACACACACACACACACACACACACACACACACACACACACACACACACACACACACACACACACACACACACACACACACACACACACACACACACACACACACACACACACACACACACACACACACACACACACACACACACACACACACACACACACACACACACACACACACACACACACACACACACACACACACACACACACACACACACACACACACACACACACACACACAGTGTACTGGTATATAACAAGGTCTATTTATGCTTGAACTGGTCAATAATAATTCAAACTTTCAGAGGGGTTGTCTTGCTCCTTTATTCAATCCATTCTAATTCTGAACATTCTGCAAACTGAACTGAAGTCTATCTATAATTATGATTTTACAGCACCCGATAGTTTAAATCTTGACTACTCCGCCAAACGCTGCAAGACCTGCTCCTATCATTTCTATATAGTCTGCAGCCAAGTGCTCTTGCATTTCAAATCAATCTCCTCTTCATCATATTTTCCTTGTGTTGTGTAGACAGTCTTCAGATATACCATTTCGTCCTCTTGAACACTTGGTTCTTCCGGTCTACTTTCACACTCAACTCTTTGTTCGTCCTGAATTACACTTTTAGAATTAACACAGAAGTTTAAAACAGTTACTAATGCTTGGCTTCTCTTCATGAATACAGCATCCACTAACATCCTTTGTGACATGACCTTGTCCTATGTCACGTAGTCCCTGTGACATTCATTGTGAGAGTTTTGTCCGTGTCCCCGGGAAAGGTTCTGCCTAATTGGACCTCCGGGAGGAGTGGGGAGTAGTGGACCTGATAGACGTAAAGGGCGTATATTACTCAGCCGGCACTCCAAATTTGCAGGTGGCTGCCCCAAATGCTGATGCTGTGGTTTTGTAAAATGAGTGGGGGTGGTAGTGAAATGGTCGGGAAAATCAGATGAATGGGTTTCATTATGATCATCAAAACCGTCACAGTTTTGAGGTGAAGGTCTTCTCCGTCTATGTAAATCAAGAGAGGGTTCTCTTTGGCCCAAAAACTGTTGTGGTGAATCAAAGCGAGGTCCCCTTACTTGTGCATTATTTTTATGATCCCTGGCATAAAATGGGCCCACAATGCCTCTTCTTCGTCCTCTGAATCTTTGGAATCGCCCTCTTGGTTGACCCTTGATTTCAGTATACTGCTGTCCTTCAAACCGGCTATGCGTTGGCCCATGTGCTGTGTCCTGAGAGTGTGATGGAGCCTGTCTTGAAAAACCTGTGCGTATTCGGTCTTCTGCATCCTCTGCAAATGTTTGGTGGCAGTCAGGGCTATGTAGCTCACAAATATCTTGTGCATAACCACTTGGATTAGCAAGATGAGGCATATGAGATTTACTGGTTGGGGTTGTGTGCGAGTCTCTGGCGTCAATCTGTCTCTCCGTTGGCCCTTCATCATTGGGAATGCTCATTTGTTTAGATGAATTCATTAGATGGGTTCTATCATGCATTACCTGACGCGAACCCCTGTGACTACCCCTACCTCGCCTAAAAGAACGCTGTCTTGGAGATGGGTCTTTTGATCCAATGGGTCGAGCAGGTCCCGGACTCTCAAACATCTCTTCTGTAAACGATCCACTGGGTTGAGGATCTTTAGTCGGGCCTTCATACCTCACAAACCCTGAGGATTGGCCCCTAGGTCCAAAGTTTGTAGAACTACCAGAATTACCATCCCTAGGCGGAGCAAATTCAGGACTTCTCCGTTTCATTACAGAAGGACGCTCTCTCAAAGGCTTCCACTTATCAAAGGTGGAAGGGTGAAAGTGCTCTCTAGGATTAGGAGGTCTGAAATTGCCCTTGTGCACTGGAGGAGGCCCTAATAGTGACTCTCTTTGCTGAAACTGGACAGATTCATCCTCATGAAAATTCTGCCCTTGTTTATAAGATGTGTATTTTTTGTGACATAATCCAGCGGTTTCAGGTTCTTCAAAGTTGCATTCGTGTAACTGGTCAGGCGTGGGTTGCTGACTTTGATGAACCTGATCGGTCGCTTCCACTGGAAACCTTCTGAGCCTGTGGTTTGGATGTTTTTGGTGAACACATTTGTCTGTGGAGAATTCTTCCTGTTCGTGAGATACATAAGGTTGCTTGTTGTTGTCTCCATCATGCAGAAACTTTCCTCTTTTATTTTGAGGCAGTTCTCTGGAATAGAATTGATCTGTGTCCGATTGTGATGAATTTCTATATTGTAAACGGAAAGCTCTTTGAGGGTAATCTCCTTGGAAGTCTGATGACAAATCTGAACCGTATCTGTTAATGAGCTTATCTTACACTCTGTGACATCTGAGGGTTGTTTCTTTTGCCCAAATAATGTGTTAAGGATGGTCTGAAGTGGGGTGGTACTGGTGGAGTCTTTGGATGGGCCCACAGTGACAGATGGGGTGGGATTTGACACGCTAGGGAGAGAAGATGGGGCACATAGAGAGCTGGCAGAGCATGATGGGTCTGGTAACCCAACTGAAGGTAAGGATCCAGCAGGATTTGAGTCGAGGAAGATGTCAGCATCACAAGCCTTTATGCTATGTTGTCCAGGATCATTTAGTGAGGTAGGATTGCTGGTTCCCTTCCCATCTAAACACATCAAGGACCTAGAATTCTTTTCACCAACATCTTGTGGCAATCCCTCGGGACGCTTCGGCTTTTGACAGACTGCTAGCCCTATTAGGAGATTAGGGTGATTCTGTTCAATCCCTAAGAGAAGTCATAACATAAAACAGGTTAAAATCATTATAGTCTGATGTCAGAACCGATCAGTGCAATCTGTGCGTGATATACCTGGTCCCTCTATGGGAAGAAGCACCGCAGGGATGGACTGCTTTGTACTCAGAGGAATGAGGTAAAGATCTTTGATGTGTTTACAAATATTAGAAACAACCCCGAATCTCCTACGACTGTTGAAATATGAAAACAGAGAGACATATGCAACCTCTTCCTCTTCAGATGATGGATGGAACCGGATTAATGACAGCTCCTGCATTCAAAGAAATAGTGCAAATATATTTTACTTTACTAAGGGCATTTACCTAAATAATGTGCATTTAATATAATTAATATATCAGAATTATTAATAATAAATTCGAAGTCACAGTTTTACCTTTGCCTCTGATGTCTTTATCAAATCAACATATTCCCACACAGTTTGAGGTAATATCCTTCCTCCTATGTGTATAGTGTCTGGTAAGTCCTGAACAGAGAAAATGCACATATTTAACACCCACTAACCACATTCATATACAGCATATTTGGAGAAAATAATTAATAAACACAATTTTAACTTTCAATTAGTTAAGCTTAAAAGGCTAACCTCTTTTAGCAAGTCAGGAGAGGGATGGAACCGGATTAATGACAGCTCCTGCATTCAAAGAAATAGTGCAAATATATTTTATTAAGGGCATTTACCTATATAATGTGCATTTAATATAATTCATATATCTGAATTATTAATAATAAATTCAAAGTCACGGTTTTACCTTTGCCTCTGATGTCTTTATCAAATCAACATATTCCCACACAGTTTGAGGTAATATCCTTCCTCCTATGTGTATAGTGTCTGGTAAGTCCTGAACAGAGAAAATGCACATATTTAGCACCCACTAACCACATTCACACCCCCTCCATATACAGCATACTTAAAGAAAATAATAAATTAAAAAAAGGAAGAAATTTTTTTATTTTTTTTTTAAACTTTCATTTAGTTAAGCTTAAAAGACTAGCCTCTTTTAGCAAGTCAGGAGAGCCAGAAATCAAGTATCCCTTTGTGACAAATTTGGCCACAGTTGGCATGTTAAGAAAGCCTTTCCATAAAATGCTCTGTTTGGATAAAAACTGTTTTGTTCCTTTATCACAATCTGCCAGCCTTGAAAGAGAGAGAAACACCATTAGAATTAAGTTTAGTATAAGTTTGAACAATTAATTGTATTGGTTTACGGTTGAAATGACATACAAAACACTGTCTGCATGCACCTTGTCATTGAGCCATATGAAGTGTCCAGAGACGCTGGTGGAGGTTTCATGAGGATTGATTTTGGCATAGGAGCAGGCAAAGGTACGGACACATGTGGTGGAAGCGTCTCTTTCAGAGATTCTGGTGCGTTCTTCACAGGGTGCGGATGCTGCTGTGGGATTGAGGCAGACTCTGAGACAGCAGACGATGGTGGAGCTTGTCGGTATTGTGCTGTACGGGGGTCTCTTCTTGAGATGGACACCGTGGGAACTGAAGGTATCAACACAGGAGAGAAATCTGCTGAGGGTATCTGTGAGTTTAGGTCCTCCCCGCTGGGAGAAGCAGGGGACTCGAATATATCAGAGTCCAGCGCTGGTGGAGCCAACGCTTCATCGATCACGTGAACAACCCCTGAAGATTTCTCCTTTTCTGTCTCATCTTTTGTCATTGTCATCTTGGGTTTCTTGGTTTCAGGATCATCAGTGGATACTTGGCCTGCAGGTAAGAAATTCATTTGTAACAAATTATACTGTAAATAAATTATAATTGCATAACTTTATAACGATTTTTAAAATTTCTTAAATTTCCAGGTAAACAAGCAGTGCATGTGAAGTTTGTTTCAGAAGGTCATACCTGTACATATCCTGCAATTAAGGTCAAAGAGATGGCGCTTATGTTCTGCTGTAGTGTCTTTCAGCATGCAGCTGGTCACATCTGGAGCACCTAAGCTTACTTCCTTCACCTGAGGCAGCTTCAGAGACGATTTCTCCTCCTAAGGATAGACAAAATGCTTGATTGCTCAGAGTAGAACAGAAATGCCACTGTGCTCTAGCCAGTGAAGGGAAAAAAGCCCTAATATAAGGATGTGTTCACACTATGTGTTCTGGTTCATTTGGTCCTGACCAAAATAGAAAATGATGCATTTAGTCCTGGTTCGTGGTGCCATTTTTAACATTGAACCTAAAGATACCAAACCAAAAGCAAAGACTGGACTGCTTTTATATTTTGTGACTGAACTAAATAAAGCAACGCCGTGTGCTGGGCTAAATGTGCTTGTTGTATGGTGGTGTATTTAAAAAAAAAAAAAAAAATTACAAATTTTTAACAGCATCGGGAATTCAATTCCACACACAAATGAATATGTGCTGCAGGGAGACTGCACCAAACTGTAATAGGCCTATGACCAGCTCATGTTGCTCGTCACAGCTCCATGACAAGAAGGGAAAGTTTTTGGTCCAAGCTGCATTCATATTTCAGTCGAACTGCACCAGAATCTGTCTGGAAGTAGACCGAGACCCAGCTTTTCAAGGGGTCTTGGCCCACTTGTTTGGGGTGTACCAAGGTTTGGATGGCAGCATTCACACTTATTCAAATCAAATCTAACCTGCCAGTGTGAACACACCCTAAGATTGCTGTGGTGGATGATCTGCAATGTCCTTGTTAACGCCCTTATGCTTGTCCTTGTTAACGGACATTTTATGCTTGTCCTTGTTAACGGACATTTTAGACAATGTCCTTGTCTAAAATCCAGCTAGAGAGCAGCAGATGAATGATAAAGGTTATGATTCCTTTAAACATGTAAGGAAATAAGCATCAGCTCACTGAAGGAGTGGTTGCGCTCGGGGACGTTGTGGTGTCTACGCTCATCACTTTCTCAGGAGGAGCAGCTGGTTCTTCCACATCCTCAGAAAAAAGGGACGATTCCTTCTTCATTGAGATCTGCAGCAGTGGACCAGCAGCAGATTCCTGTCAAAAAACCAGTCAAGAACTGAAATGCTAAACATTGACTTAACATGAGTTTGTGACATCACAGTACTTTACCTCCTGCTGACTCAACTGAATGAGCTTCACTGAAGGCATGTTTCCTTTCAAAACCTGATGACACAGTTCCTGAAAACAATAAACCATCAGAATAAATTCATGACTCCACACATTACAAAAACATTTAAATAGAATAACTGTGTATACAGTAAACTGACAAAATAACCTTGTTTTGGGGATCTTTCAAGGTGAGGACGAGATACTGGTATTTATTCTTATACTCCTCATCTGTTGTGTAACACATGTTGAACATCTCTTTCTCCATGTGCACAACCATCTTTTCAATTTCACTCTCAGAAATCTTCAAATCATCACTCTGACTGAACCTGATGAAGAAAATGACAGGATTATAAATATAGCTGTTACCACAAATGGTAAAATATGGACTGAATACAGAATGATTTTAGGCAAAGTGGTCTATAAAGCCATAAGCATAATTAATTATAATGCAATAAAACTGATTTTAACTTGACCAATGTGACACTGCCAACATATTGATATTATAATATTGTCATACTATGACACACTAAGTTATGCCAAAGCATTCCAGAGACTGTGTTATTTCTAATAAATAAATACATAATTATCTTTATTCCTTTATACCTCCCTGCTCTAGCTTGCACTTTTCTAAATGTCTGAAACTTTGTATTACTAGCAATAGCTACTAAACCTGCTTTGATTCATTCACAAAAGTGCTGTCAAGATACAACCTGACCTGTGTGCTCAATTTTATTTGTGGCAGCTTTATAGAAGAATGCTTTGGTATTTCAGAAAACTTTTTATGACTTTTTGGCAACATGATCCATCCATGATGATTTGAGACAGGTTTTTGAAGACCTAATGAACGATCTTGGAGTTTGACAATCAATTTGGCATTGGCTCTGGAATCAGAAGTGAAACTTTTAACTGTTGGTTAAAGGTTCAGGATTTTTATAACTACTCTATGTATGATTTGATGGACCGATGACCGATGATGAGGACACATTGTATCCCTGCCTTCGCACCGTTGGTGCTTGATCACCAATTAACATTTCTAACAGGATTTGTTTTGGAAAATGAAGTGTTTGAATGAAGACATGACTAGAGACGAGGTAGCTTTCTCTGACCTTCTGCAGAGAACTGTACTCAGCGAGCGGCGAATGCTTTGTCTCATCAGGAGAGGACTGGCGTGAGGGGCCACAGTGGGCTCCTCTGCCCAGGGGCCGCAGGGAACCACTTCTGCGGCTTTGCTGGACTCAACGGGTGCCTTGGATTCACAGGGCTTTTTAGGGATAGACAAAGGGCTTTTACTGAGAGCCCCTTTAAGAAGCTCCAGTCGTGGAGAGCCTGGCATGGTTTTCTTTGCTCTTCCTGGAGTGGACTTCTTAATTAGTGGGGCTGCAGGCGTTTTTTCAGAAGAGGAAACATCTGGAGTCAAATCTGAAGGTTGGCTCTGTGGTGTGCTGATACTGCACTCAACTTCATCTTTCTCTTTAACGGCTGAAAGAAACAAAGTGAAGGATATAAAGATATAAAACACCAGAAGAATATAGAAAAACCAGGAATTCACATGCAGCGCTCACATCATCCAAACAAACCCAAAAGTGCTAATGTGAAAGCACTGGGGCTGCACAACACTGAAGAAAACGAACATGGACATATTTTGTTTTTCTGCAACATGACAAAAACATTTTCACCAGATGACTTTATGAACAGCTCGATTTATTAAGAAAGAAGCCTTCTAGATTGAATAGGGTGATTTTGTTGGGGAGTGCGACTATACAGAAAATATATTTTTACACTGTTAAGTCTTTTAAGTTTTTTTGTGTGTGCGCGTGTGAAATCCTTTTAGATCTTCAAGATTTGGGAAAAATTTTGGGTGTTCATAATTGTCATAATTTTGTGATCATTGATTACAATATTGAGATTATTGTGAAATAAAACAAATATTAAATATAAGAAACATTCTAATACTGTAAAATAGTGTAAAAAAAAGAAAATAAAAAAATAAATTTTCTCTGCAAAATTACAGTAGTAATAAATGTCTTAATTTATTAATTTAATATAATGCAGCTCATGATATCAGTGTCTCAGAACAGCTCGATTCACAGTAAATGAACCAAACCGGTAGAGTGTAGATTTACTCAATTAAATCACATCTTTCAGATTCGCATCTTTACTGACTGTGAAAATGACTCTGAAACCTCTATGTAGATTCACTGGCTGTTATACATCTGAATAACCTTTATTCAACATAACAGTCATTCTTGATCACATGAGATGGTTCATGGGTGGGATTATGCCAATTCTGAAAGTGCGTGTACATACACCATTTTTATAAAAGATTGAAATTTATTAACACACACTTAACATACACAAGTATGTGCAAATTACTCAATTTACTCATGTATTTATGATGTAAAAGTTTTATGAATGAAGGTCCATTTAATATACAGTACATTGTTATTTTCGCTTGTTTGCACACCGTAATTATCAGTAACAAACTGATATTTTAGTATACTGAAGTTTAATGTTTTGGCAGTGTATGTGTTGGCAATAAAAATTAGTTACAGTATTTGTAGCTCGAAAATTCAATGTCTTCATCTTGCTTGAGTTCAACAAGGGTTTAAAAACAGTATAATCTGTGGTCCAAGTTTATTTTTGCATTATTTAATGATGTTGTGCTGCACAGGATTGTGAATGTACCACACTTTGCAGTAAGATGAATCATATGTTTTGGCTGATTGACCTGTACAAATGCACTGGTCATGTTTTGTTTCTTTTTTCATCTCTGTGAATAAAGGCTCATTCACACCAAGAACGATAACGACAACTAATAACTATAATGATAACTATATTTGCATCCACACCAGCCAACAATTTATCCAAAGCTTGCACAATGCGGTCTCAAAATGGTGAAAAGGAGGTGGAAGTATCTGCTCAGAGTTTCACTTTTGAGGGCTAATTTTATTCATGCTTCTGTTTAACTCAGTATCAGTTTTTGCTGTAAAAACATTTGATGCTGACTCTGTGCCTGATTTAACGGTCTGTGTAAATGCACCATTTTCAGTGTAAAGCAACTCTAGTTGTCTAAATCTGAGAACCTAATTCAAAATTTTATTGAACCAAATGTATATTTTGTCCTGCACTATTTTGCATACTGGGCCCATCTCACTTAATATATCAGTTTGACTCCAGTGTCAGTTGCCAGTTAACGCCAACATCATCTTAGAAACGCCAAACCACAACAGTCTTCAAGATTACTGCCCTACAAACTGTCTTTTACTTGAAAAATTGAAATGTCTGTGTAAATACTGACCTCAAAATATCATCATCCAATGTTTGTTACTACACTGAGAAAACGGGCTGAGCGGAGGTGTGTGAGTGTGTGTGTGCAGGAGAGAGACAGAGCACACATTTACATGCACACCAACATGCTGATAACTATAAATAAATAACTAAAAACTATAAACAGATTTATATGCAAGCTAATAACCCAGCTTTTTTTTCCCCCTCTACTTCCTCTTGGTTTTACGTTTTTATTTTTCATTCTGTTATTGCTGTTTTTAGTTATTCTATTGTAAAGCACATTGGTCAACTCTGGTTGTAATAAATAGTGCTATATAAATAAAATTGCCATTGCCATATTGATAAACTAATGCTTTGTTTTCGGCTCAAGAGATGAAGTCGGTGACACTGACTCATCATCAGTAGTGGATGCACATGTATGCATGTTTCATATGCATTATATAATCTGAGAATATTTGTTTTCCATTTGAATCGGTTCATTTGAAAGTAGACATTTCGCTCTCTATAGATATGTTTTCATATCTGTAAGGCAATTATACACTGAGAGCGCATCCAGTTTGCTTTATTTTACAAAATCACAATGTTTTGTTGTTATTGTGAGTGCACACAAATAAACGTAGTCTTTACAAATTCAAAACATGTATTACTCTTATCTGTATGACCAGAAAGGAGGGAGTATTTTAAGAGTTAAGTGAGCGCACCGGCGCCTCCATCTGTCCTGCAGTGAGCTCCACACTCCACACACACTTGAACAGCACACAACATTAGATTGAGCGCCGTGTAAAGTTGCTACAACCAACATATTTCAGATAAGCCATATTTGAAGTGGATGAATGATAGGCAAGCGTTTGGATGTACTGTATTACCATACAGACCAGCCTTTAACACTAGAACCGCCACGGGGTTTTACCCGTGGCTGTTTTTAAAACGTACATAAAAGATTTTTAATAAAACATTCAAGTCTCCCAGTCACTGACTTTTACTAAAATTGTGTGATTTACAATCCCCTGTTGTTAAAAACTGTTTAGATAAAACCAGATCAAAAAACGGGGCCGTTTTTTTTTGGACCGTAACACGCAGACTAAAAGTTAAACATGTGAGTGGATACCGTGGATACCAATTTATTTGCTATGCTCATTAACGTAAAAAAAAATAAGCTAGACATAGCATATTGCTTATATGTTGACTTGTATGAAATAGCCTAACCTCAAAGAACGATTTGTGGATTGATGTGAATGACAGCAAGCAGGAATAATGCTCAGAATGCTTGTGGATTAAACATCTCCGATGATGTTCATCGCCATGGATTGATTTTATCGGGTTACAAGAAAAGGTAGGATGTGGATCTAATTGCGAACTGTTAGTAGGCTACTGATTTTATGATTTATCATGCTCGCTACGGTATTCGAGTCCACACGCGTCCAGCTAGAAGTGACATCAACTAGAAGTGACAGCCTGGTGAACTTTGGTTGTCACTTCTGCATTACGAAAAGAAAAAAAAAAAAAAAATTTAAAGGTTATTCACGATTATATATTGCTGCCAAGGTATCTAGCCTTTACAGTGCTTTGTTATATGGAGCTGTTTGGTAGATCGCGATCTATCTAATTCGTTTGTCTACACCGTAATTAAAATGCGGCAGACTTTAATGGACAGTAAAACAAAGGCAGAACACTGTATAACTCCAAGCCGGCACTTGGTAACTTCATTTTGACGAATGGCTAAATAAAGTCAGAACGCCGTAACTCAGTTTGAGCGTTCCAAACAAAGTGAAAGAGCCGTAACTGGTGTTACGGTGCTCTGCCTTGGTTTCTCCGGGGCTTTTCGAAGTTACGGTTGAGACGACCCATTATTTTCTCGGAAAAACAACAAAATTGACTCAAGATAAATGATGTCTTGAATGTCCCAAAAATATCAATAACTCATTTTCGACAAAAATCGAAGTTACGGTCTTTTGCCTTTGCACGGCAGTATAATGCCTGTATGTTCGAGCTGTCATTTTCGTGCTGCTTATGTTTTAACAAAGTACATTAGGCAACGCCTTTCACTCACTGAATTAGCGGTTATCAGTTTCATAAATAAAGACAAAATTAGTAAAAGAAGGCGATTTATGAAGTCTGAAGAGGTATAAGAAGCACTAAATGCCATTAGCGATGGAGAGTCTGATGGTGGGGAGATAAGTAAAGCGTCCTGTCGGCTCAGCATCTGACGGCGATCAATATATCATATTTAGACATTTTATCCTAATGTTGCTCATATTTGTTCAAAATTTGGATTAATTATTTAACTTTTGTTTTGCCATTTCTATCGTTTATTGTTCCCTTCTGTGTTGCTATTTATTCTAGTCTGCCTGTTTCCTGAAGAAGAAAAAAATCCGATCTGATGTAGGCTAATGAATAAAACCTTTTTTTTTGATTACCCGAAGTTTATTGGTGTTCTTCTAGTATAATTCAAATTATAAATGATATATAACTAAACAAATTAATAATTAATTAGGTGAAGCGGTGCGCTTGAATTTGTCATTGTCATCTGAACGTAGTGTCAGTACAGTTCGTCATAAATAGAACGAGGCATCAGTTTACTGATGGGGATCGTGTCGCATCGTGCCGCGCCGCATCCAGTGTAGACAACATCACTGGGTTCTCTCTTTTGTCGGATCGCGCCACTCGCTTCCGGTGTAGACATGGTGTGAGTTTTTTTTAATGGGTTATGTTATAGCCCTGCTTGTTTTTAATGTTTTTATGAAATATCTGTATTGACTGCATGATCATATCATCGTATTATTTAGCCACGCAATGAGTAACACTGTTCTAGATCATTAAACATGATGCTATGGTGTCTAAACCTAGTTTTCCTTATTAGGTGATTTACAAAAGAAATCCACCTATTTAGTCATCAAGGCAGCAGCCTTAAGTTTCGGACACAGCCGTTGTGTTACTATGAAAAACAATAGATACATATCTTGAGTTTCTTTCTCACACCTGCACTATTTTTAAAAACATAAAACGCTTTTGTGAAGCTTTGAGATTGAAGTAGTGACGTACGGGAGCCAAAAAGTAAAGCTTGGCGAGCCGCATGAGGCTCGCGAGCCGCGCAATGAGTAACACTGCTCTAGACACTTCTTTGTGAAGACAGTAGCATAATACAGTGAAATAATATGTTCTTTAGCCATTCAAAAACAGCTGTCATGTGCATGTGTAAAATTTACCCGCTGGTGCTTTTAGGTATACAGCGACCCCTGGCGGTTCTAGTGTTAATGATCTGTTCATCACGGACTGCGTGACTTCACCACTTCCTCTGGATTTTATTTTTCTGCGACTAAGCAACTACTAAAATTTTGGTCGACCAAGCCTCTTCTCGTCGACTATTAGGGGGCAGCCCTACTTAAAACCCACACACATATTATTCCAAACATCAGCAGGAAACAAGCACAGACTCGTTATGTTTGCAGACTGCACCTCCTTCGACTGCACAAGGTAACACATCTTTATCATTTCTTGGGTCAAGAAAGAGTCAAGGAGTGCAATATATTTTCTCAGTTAACGAAACAGTTGACATTACCATGCGTGTAAACGCGCTCACAGAGAGAGATGTGTCTGTGAGGAGAGTACATGATACATACTGTGTTTGTACTCTGGAGCAGGACTGGATGGTGTGGTTGATTGTACAGGCTCAATGACTGTAGTGGAGCACAGTGACTCTTCATCCAGTTCTTGCTTGCTCACACGCTCTTCCTGTGCCGGCGTCTTACTGATCTTCACCTTGAAAAGCTTTGCAAGAAATGATCGTTTCTCGCTCTGAAATGTGAAAGCATAAGAGTGAACTCAGTACACAGCTACAGTAACAAACACTGAATTGATCCGAAATGTGATGTGATTCCACAACCTAATCAGAGGTTTTTTTTCATGTTGTTTATTTTTTCCATTTAAATGTATGACATGTTTTAAAGTGACGCTCATCAACTGTTCTCTCGCTGATGACTGTCACACTTCACTACTCGTATATATTTATAAAAGAAGAGCATGCCGAGGCAGGTACAGCTGAGATACATGTGGACCCTCTTTGGTTGTCTGCTTTTGTGGAATAATCTGAGTAATCCGCGTAATCAGAGTAATCCACGTAATCAGAGTAATCTGGTCAGATGCATGTAGCTCCAGCAAACCAGTCGCACAACCGCTGAGTTTACAACTGGTTTCTCCATTTCACTTCTCTTCCTTTCTTTTTTTTTTTTTTATTTGCCCTTTCAAGTTGATGCTAACCATTCTTACAGGTTTATTACTTACAAACCCTCTCATCTTTCTATAAAATGAAGTGTTGGAGCAAAATATAAATAATGTTTTTTTTTTTTTTCCTGATTGGTTTGAATTAAGCAACTTAAGAAATAAATTAAATTACCAACAATATCGGAGAACAGGCAAATACATTAGATATAATATTTCCTGCTAATTCACAGCTTCCTTTGTCAACCTCTCAGGCTGATAAAAGACTCTTTTTTTTAATCAGGCTGATAAAACCCCTTTTTTAATGGGTATTTATCTGATACCCATTTTTTAATGGGTATCAGATAAAATATACTTTTGTTCACTGATTTCGGGTATCAGACAAAACTCTTCTCACAGTTTTGGATAACAGATCAAACCAGTTCTCCAGACACACACACAAAAATAAAAATAAATAAAAAAATAAATGAAGGAACAACAGAATAAACATGCTTTTTTTTTTGCACTTTAACATTTCAGTCATACTGTATTGTGTTTATGTCTCCCCTCTAGGGATGGGCGATATCTTATCGTTTGCGATATACCGGTAAAAATTCTCCACACGATAATAATTCGTCTTCCCACGATAATAACGATAAAGTCTAGTTGTTGACATATTTCTGTGTGGAGTGACGTGAAGGAAGGCGGACGTGAAATTGAGCAGCTCCTTCTACAATCTGGAGCAGGTTTGGATAGGGCTGTACAGTGCGACAAAAATCGGTCTGAGCCTTGAGTAAATGTACTACAGCAGCACGTGTGCGACACAGTTTTAAATGTGTACGAGTCGTTTACAAACCTGTTGTCCAACAAAGATAATTTAATTTATTGACATGCTTTTTCTCCATATTAACTTCATAACATAGTCGAGTGTTTGAAATGACTTATTTTTGTGATCAGACGTGGTTTTGTATCACAGAATAAGGCAGAAATCATACTATTTTATAGCATTGTTCATGTCCGCGGGTTGAAGCGACCCCAATAACGTGATATTTAGTCCCTGGAATGTGAATTTTACTTTAAGATCCCTGCCAAAAACCATGTATTTTACCCCCGGAATGCGATTTTTACAGGGGAACCTTCTTCGAAACGCGATTGGACTAGTTTTATTGCGAAAACCTGGCAACCCTGTTCATAGGCGCCACCTGCTGTCAGAGAGTGTGTCTCATTCAGACCTGCTGTTTTTGTTTCGTGCATTTGTTTTATGTAGCAAATAAATAAATAATACCTAAAGTCAGACCATTCTGTTTTTGTTGTAAATCCTGAAATTAATCTAAATCAAATCAAAAACAACTGCCCGTGCAGATCATGATTAAAATGCAGTGGTTGCCTCTAATTTCAAATGGCTAGATATTTTTTTAAAGCCAGTTTGTTTGTTATAAAGCAAATAGCCAATAAATAAATTTGCTTAAAAATCAGTATCAGTGTCAGAATCCAATTTGCTAGTTTAAAAATAATAAAGAAAGAAAGAAAAGAAAATCTGAATTCTGAATCAGCTATGATCGGCGCATCACTAATTAAAATACTAAGTAAAAGGCCTCAAATTTGAAGTACAATCTGGGATGTCTTTTTCTATCAATTCTTCAATAGGTAGATCTTGTCTTTCATAAAGGCCGAGGTCAGGGATCTTGGGCCTAAAAAGGTTGGTGACCACTGCTCTAAAGAAACAGGATTCCCTAAATTATCGTCATTGATATCGTCATCGCAATAAATATCAGAAATTATCGTGATATATTTTTAAGCCCATATCGCCCATCCCTACTCCCCTCCTTTTACAAATTTAGCATTTTAATCTTATAATCTTATAAATGTCCTGAGAACTAAGGTTCACTTAAAGTGGGAAATAAAAGTCTTTTTAACTTGAGAACTGTATAGTCACAAAGAATTGTTTATTACACAAACTAAAATTCTTCAAAATGTCTTTTGTGTTCCAAATCATGATAGTGATTAAATGATTTCCCTTCCTTTTCCTGACAATGCAAATACCCGTGTTATGATTTCTACCACAGATCGGAGCTACAATGAAAGAGACTAAAATAATATTTACCTTGAGAGGCGGGTCAGCAGGCTTTGTCTCAATTTTGGGTTCAGAGAGAGACTTCATGGCCGCTGCTGCATGCCGCACAATACACTGATGACCGCAGTACACTGACTCGGGCAGAGAGTCATTACTGCAGCCTGGTCCAATGCATTTAGGTAATGCCGCCTTCTCCTCTGCCTTAATCTCCTCCTCCACTGGCTGCTCAATCTCCACCCGAGACCCAAGACACAGATTAGATAAATAGCAAGAAAATTTGTGCGCAACACAGTCTTATGCGTGTTGACCAAGTTTGGTGACAATTGCATAAAAACACTAGGAGGAGTAGGGGCGGCGATCTGGCGATTTTATATCATGATTTATCTTGTAGATGTCCACAATGTAGTTTTCAAATGAATCATACAGATTGTTGTCTTATGTACTATAAAATGGTCCTGTTTTTGTCCATATATAAATAAATCCACACAACTTTCAGTTGGCAGGATTTTTTAAGTTATTAACAACTTGAGCGATGAAGAGACATAGATGAATCAGACAGTAAAGAGTGGGATGTGCTTGATATTAAAAGGAGTTAATAAAAATCAAAAAGCCACAAAAGAAAAATCAAAACACCCATAACCCTTGAATTGCTCTAAAACTAGACAAAGATATAGTCTAGATAATGTCTATAGTTTTCTCTCCACTGGACTGTACAGAGTAGTATTGTATCATGCCTGTATGCTTCATGTAAGGTCATTTAATTTGTCCACACAATGAAAAACTTTAAAGCATGTTTTTTTGTTTTCTACTTGTCAGCCTGTGAGATCGCCGATACACAATATTATTGTGCTAATTTAATTATTTTCTTCGTTTCATTGCCGGAAAGTTAACCAACTCCAGCATAAGGCTAAAAGCAGCCTAATATTTTTAATATAACTGAATTTGTATTTAACATAATTTTATAAAAACACTGTAAGTTACTAACTATTTTGCTTATATTTCCTGTTATTCAAAAAGCAGCTACAGAAAATGAGCAAAGAACATTTACATTACCAAAGACCATCATCACTGACTCAGTCTAGCATGAGTATATACTCTTTAAAAAACACTCCTGTTATAACCAGTAAAGCCATCTATACTGTGTGATGAATAAACCCCTTATTTACACTGCACACGTCTGCGGCGCGCTACGGCTCCGGCACAGTCACTCCAGTCAATGCTTTTGTTTATACAAGGCATGCCGCGGCATGTTTCTGAAACGTCCCATCACTAAAGATAGGCGCCTAGTTTATTTTTGACTAATAATAATAATAACAATAATAATCATCTTGCTATCGTCAAAGGCATCAGCAACAAACAATACTATCGTCTATCGGCACAACCCTACTTGATAAAGATGAGAATTCAACTTCGACTTATTAGAAACGCACTTCTTCGTAAACATTATTGATGGAGAACAGTACAGGCTCCTTTTGTAGAAGCGGCTAACATTCTAGTGGTTTTCCTCATCAGGGTCTGGGGATGTTCCAGAAAGCAGGTCATGTGACACACTCGGGTATGTTTAAAGGGTTAGTTCACCCAAAAATGAAAATTAGGCTGCATTTTACTCACCCCCGAGGCATCCTAGGTGTATATGACTTTCTTCTTTCAGACGAATCCAGTCGGGAGTTATATTAAAAATTGTCTTTGATCTTTCAAGCTGTTTAATGCCACTCAGCGGGTGTTGCATTGCTTCAGTCCAAAAGAACTTAAACAAAAATTGCCCATCCATAAAAAAAAAAAAAAAAGTGTCTCACACGGCTCCGGGTGGTGAACAAAGGCCTTATGTAGCGAATAGCGAGTAGCTTCTGTTTCAGGGCTAGTTCACTTCAGAGGTATCAGCGCATGCGTGACCTACTGACCAGACTCCAGTGGGCGTGACAACATTATATATTACAACAATATAGTTATGTACTAATATAAGTAATATATAAGGTAATATATTATTCTAATATGGTTACTATATTTATTTTAGTTAGGGGTGCTCCGATCATGATTTTTGAGGCCGATCACAGAAAGCAATATCTGCCGATACCGATCTTTTAAAAGCCTTCTTTTTATAATTTATAATTATTTATAGTGATACTTCAATCAGGATTTTTAGACATTTATTCAGGGCCTGAATTTCATTTTTGAAAATGGGGGGAATTCCTTTTCTTATGTTATCACAAACTTACCATTGACAGAAATAGTCAGCTCTACTGCCTTTCCTTTTGCATTGAAATCTTTATTACAGGCAATCCTGTGGTTCATAAAGAACTTTGTTTTCCTACCTCTACCCTATCATCTATTATTGCCTTCTTTATCTAAAAGTGCTCTTTTCCAACAAGTCATATGTGTTGACTGTGAAAGACAGTATACTTTAATTATATGCATTTATGGTGCAATTGCTACATTTTCGTTTTCATATGTACTGCAAACAATGTGCTGTCACTTTAATTCATCGCGTGTATCACAGCAAAAATAGAATTGGTGCGGAAACGATCTCTGCACTGCTGCAGACGAACCGCTCCCGAACGCACTGCCATGTGCAGTGTGAATGCTTTAATCCGTTAACATGAGCGCGGAAAAAATACGCACCACATACCAGGCACTGCAAACAGAGTAATGTGAACCTGGCATTATGTGTGTGCGCTGCAAGTGTGCATGAGCGCACGGTCTACAGGAGCGCGCGCGAGCGCTGAATGGTTAAACACTGGCAAGAATGAAAAAGTAATGCAAAAACGTTACTTTACTTGAATAAACTTTAGTGACGATGTGACACTGCCTCGATTGTGCAAGTGACAATTCCTGTGTCAACTGTGCAGCGTGCAGCTCGCTTATAGACAGACGCGATGTGTGGTGATTTGAAACCATTTGCGTATTTTGAGAGAGAAAGAGAGCGCGCGCGGTGATTCACTCACGCTGTTTGTGAAATTACGTCTCACACAAGGTTTTCAAATTACTTTAGAAGTTATTTAATGAAGAAATATGAAGGTGAATTATCCTCACCTTCAGCATTATAATGATTTCGCCAGAGAGACTGAGATGGTGCTGCTGCATGTCGTGCCAAACCTCTCACGGCAGCGTCCCAACGTGATTATCGGCAGATAATGATCGGTAGCCGATCAATCGGAGCACCCCTAATTTTAGTGGCATATATAATAGTTATCAGTATACATTATAAAACACTATTATAACAAGGTCATTTTTTATTTATTATTATATAATATATTTATTTCATTTTATATTATCATCTCACACATCATGGGTCGGCATTTTCTATAATATCAATATTTCTATAATATTTTCTATATTTCTATAATAAAAATGCATATCTGATATGACTTACTATATAATTAGCATCAAACAAACAACATAATTCTTATTCTCAAGGATTAAAGATTAAACGGAAAATGATTGCACAACCACCAATTAGGTGGCGATATGAACCAAGTATGCAAACAGCCTTTGAACAGAATAAAGAAGCAGCATGGCACGCTGTTTCTTAGCATCCGTTTCCATAGCGACTTGTCATTTCGTCGCTCTGTTGAGACTGTCTTGTGTGTTAACCAGGAACATACTCTGAGTTGAATGAACTTGCTCCTGGAACCAGCATACCTCGAGTAAGCAAGGTTTGGGTTAATCAACCTAGAGTTCAGGGTTTAGCAGATGGTAAGTTAACCTTGCTTTCTGGAATACCCCCCTGGAGAACACACACTGTTCATATTACAATATACCTAATAACTCAAAAGCAGATAATCAGAAAAAAAGAAAATTACCACGCAAGTTGAGTCGATTTCGTGTTTTTCTCTGGGACCGTTGGTTCTCGTGGCGTCCCAGTCATCAGAGCATGAGGGACAAGCATATTCTCTTTTTCTCTGCAGGAGATGAGCGCAAGTCTCTGCGACGCCGACACAGTCACAGCACATCATCAACCTAACAGATGGAGCCGTTAGTTTGGTAGGGGCTGAAAAATCTGACCACATTTCAATCAATTCATAAAGAAGCTTGATGAATAAAGATAACAGATTTAATACCATATATTCAAAAAAACAAAGCAATAGACAAGCCTACTAGCACTAACTCAGTCGAACTCATCTAAAATAATAATGCAGGTCACAACAAGGTGAAGTATAAGTGAAAATTCGGCATTAAAAACCTGACACAATAGCATCACCAGTAACAGCATAAACACGTCTCACATGTTCACCTCGTTACCACATGAGCGCTGGAAAACGCTGGAAGCAGAGATTGTATTTTGACTGAACTCTGAACAGTGTATGATAAAAACCATTACATAAATCTTGTTCTAAATTCCCAAAAGTAACATGTTTGATGCTGATACTTGTACTGGACTGTTTTTAAATATACTCTGTTTCAGTATTCACGTGAGTTGAGCTTTAGCTGAAGCTGCTAAACTTCACCTGATTATGTCAGACATCACAACTTTCAAGAAGCAGTTGATGACACACCTCTTCCACAAAAACACTTCAGTACTCCACAACTATATGAGGGTGTGTATGATGACAGTTTTTTTTTTTTTTTTGGAGTAATGTTCATCTTTATCCTGTTTACTTCTCACAGCTGTTTACTTCTGGAATAATTCATTCTGATTGGTCAAGCTCATCATTCAGCAGTCCCATAATTCCTTGGCCATGCAGTATACTGAACCTCTCATCCGGGTAACTGAAACCTGCACTACTTTCATGTTGCACGAATCACACCACAGACTAATGGCGTGAACGAGCGCACCTTTTTTTAACGACCAAAAAGTTTTGTTGTCTGTTGCGGAAATACAGACGTTCCTCTCATTGATAGCAGAGGAGCAGATCCAGCGAGAGCTTGATGGGGCGACGCGGAATGAAAAAGTTTTTTTTAGGAGTCGTGGTAGTAGAGGCGGCGCAACTATAACGACATGTGAATAATCCCGCCCACTAGCGGTACTGAACTGCAGTGGAAATGCAAACCGAGACGAGCCGAACCGTGCCGTGCCGTACTGAGCCGTGCCAAGCCGAGTCGTACCACTCAGTGGAAAAGCGCCATTAATTAGCTCCGTCCGGAGTAACAGTGACTGATCATATTGCAAAATAGCAGGCCCATATTGCTCACCTGTTACTGTGTCCTTGTTGACATGTGCAGCAGACAGCATCCGGATTCATCCTTTCAGTGTCTTCCTTGCTATTTTCAGAGAATTCCTCCTGTTCTTCCTCTGCAAGCTCATGGTCTTCCTCTGCTCTTCCACCTGCAGTGGTTTCCCGAGCTCCTGCTGCAGCGACAGAAGTCCCACCTGCCCCTGTGGCTGTAGAGGAGCACACCTTTCCTCCTCCTGACGTGATATCCGTTTCTTCTGACACTATCTCTTCCCGTTCCATCAGTAAGCTCAGCCCTACGTCGATATCTTCTGTGCCTTTCGCAGCAGCATCATCGTCATGCTTGAGCTCTTGCAGCTTTTGAGCCACAGCCCGCTTCCGAATCTCTTGGAGATTGAGATCGTCGCTGTCTTCAGCTCGATCCGACGGGACTCCTTCACTGAGGCGCTCCTCACACGGCACTGTTTCCCGAGCTTCATTCTCACTGCTGAGATTACCTGCGGGAGTGAGCGCAGGCACGCGACCTCGACCCCGTTTAGAGGCCACAGGAGTCCGGCCGCTCTCGTCAGCCCCTCTGCCCCGGCCCCGACCCCTGCGGCGCTGGACCGGAGGGCTGCTGTCCACAGAGCCCACGGCTTGCATGAACTCCCGCCTGGCGAGGGTGCTCCGGCGGAAGCCCCAGGACCTAGTCATCGCCACAGCGCTGCAGCCTTCCTTATCCATCTGAGATGAAGCACAACATTATCCTCACTGTTAACTTCCACTGCACATGACCTATTCAACAACAACTAGACGGGATGAACATCTGTGTAATTAAATTACAAACTGCATCATCATCACTTATTGTCAAAATTATGAAATGATCTAGCAGCTTCTGTTCCAGACTCTAATCAAAACCTACAGGTTAAGCAACACTATGGGTGCTTCTGGACCTGCTGATCGTTTGCTTTCACAAGGCAACGTTTAACTCATAGCAAAATGTGTTTAGGCAAGTCACATGCGAGTAAACCTGTCCTCTCATTGGTCAGAGTGCACAAGATTGTCAAGATATGTTCGTCACAGTTTCATCCATCAAGCTGTATTGACAATTTAGCTCTGTGGTCTTATTGTGGCTTTATCTGTAGCTGTCATTACACACACACACACACACACACACACACACTTATATGTACAGACTTGAGTCCCACTCTAACTGATAACTTGTATCAATATATTATATTTGTTAATGTATTTATTTGTATTGCCATACGGCCATTTTCATGGCAAGATTGATGTTTTTGTTTTTGTAAAGAAACAAATAGTAGTAGCAACAAAAAAACAAGAACTACTGACAAACAGCTACATTAATATAACAAGCATTATTTTAGATTTACAAAAAGCCAGACAGGCTTGCATGTGCTGCACTGAACCTGGGGAAAGTCAGTGGGATCTAATTAAACATAGTAAAATGTGTTGAAGGGAGCTTAAGCATTACATTGCTCCTGACAGCAGAAGGCATAAAAGAATTAAGCAAATATTTTAGAAAGGGTGAGGGATACAACGAACTTGGTGAACCAAAGTACATTTACTGATCTGTCTGCTATGATTAGATAATTTTTCAACATCTGCTTATCACAAACATCAGCTGATAAATGAATGATCGTAACTGTGTACTTCCAACGACATAATAGCTTAAAATTAAATGAAAACGAAATACTTCGCAACGTTCTTCTCATGCTGTGATATGAACATTGCGCCTCGCGTGTCTGAGAGATTTCTCATTTATCTAATGCAAAAAGACCACAGCATCACGAATTGCTGTCAAACTGAGAAATTAACTGATCGAAACAGCTTTAGTTTAGACCCTTAAAAGGATAATTAGACTTAAAATGTGTTTTACAAGAAACACGCAACACACAACAGAGAGTGTGAATAAACAAGTGCAAAGCCCTTCGCTCACACACACTAGTATGAACTCTCGTATATAGCAACGGTTTCAAATAAAACTCACCCTTCAACGCAGGCTCACTCCACACAGCGTAATGTCTGCGTTTACATGCACGCTCTGATTTATGTTAGCAAACTTATTAATGATTATTAATGTCTACTGCACTCAAACATAAAAACAAACGCTGTGTTCCCCCATTTTGTCCGTGAGAGGGGCGTGACCTAGACGACGGCAAGACGCCACGCGCCGCATCACCGGAAACGAACAGCGCCCCTGGCGGACTGGATAACAAACTGCAGCTTCGTCTCACTCCAAGTATTGCATTAAGCATCTGTCACCTAGCATATTTCAAATATCTGTCTCTACAACAATGTGTGTGTGTGTGTGTGTGTAAGCCTGCTCAGTGTGTAATAATTATAGACTATTAGGGGTTATGCGCATAGACTAATGAACGGATTGATTATTCAGCTGCGAGCGCCATCTTCTGGCGAGATGTGGGAATTCATTCGGCGCGTGACTCTCGAGGTGCATTATGGGCATTCTCTAGCCGTTGAGCGTGCGTCAGTTGTACACTCGTTTTTGCAGTGCATTGTGGGATTGAATGAGTGCACTCGAGAACGTCCACTATGGTTTCGGACACCACTAAAAATGGCTGTTCCCTCAAATAGTGCCCTAT